AACTCAAAATCCGCATTTACATTTAAACAAACATAAGTACTTTCAGATACTTCTCTCTCATACATGCATTCACCTGCACTCACACAGTAACAATAAAACATGTAGGTTTATTTGTTACTAGCTGTACTTGCTACTTGGTCCGTATGAAATTTTATTTTATTATTCTAAAGTAAAAGTAGCCTGTTACTCCTAATTACATCAGCTACTTGCCCATAAAAATCCTGTCAAAATCGGTCCAGCCATTTCAGAGATTAGCCGGAACAAACAGACAGACAAAAATTGTAAAAAATGAAATTTTGGATTTATATTCATATGCATGTAGTAAAAAATGGTTATTTCAATATCAAACAGACACTCCAATTTTATTTATATGTATAGATATTTTACTATTGTATAAATGCAATTGTACTTTAATACCAGTATTATGTACCAATGTTAATGTCACTTGATTTGATTTCTACAATACAGTCATAGTCTGGATGATGCTGTGTGAATAATCAATATATTTCATAATTATAGTAATTTTTATTCTCATTATTTTAATCATAATATTTAAAGTTACATTCTTAGCATGTTAAAGACAGCATGCTTACCGGTGGGTCACTCTGCAACGAAAGTAAACTTACACATTGGGACCAGGTGATCACCCATGGACACTTTAATTGAAATAAATCTAGGGGTTAAATAATCTCTACATCAAATTATTGTACACTAAAAACATATTTACAAAATAGTATATGTAATTAACAATAAAAAATTCTGGTCCCTGTGATAAATAAGATTTTTCAATGGGTCTTCAACATTGTAAAGATATCCTATAACATTGTTTTATCATTTCAGGCCGTAGCAGGACTTATTTCAGATGCTCGTCAAATCGTCGAAACAGCTCGTTCAGAAGCGTCAAACTACAGATCTCAGTATGGAGTGCCAGTGCCTCTGAAATACTTAAATGAACGTGTTTCCATGTACATGCATGCATATACACTATACAGCGCTGTCCGTCCATATGGCTGTTCCATGGTCATGGGTACTTGGACGGATTATGAAGGACCACAGATGTACATGTTGGATCCTAGTGGAGTTTCTTTTGTGAGTTTAATTTTTTTAATGCTTTTATTTATACATTTAATTCAGGCTACATGGCCCATATTATAAATACCTTATAGACTAACATACAAAGAAATAATAATATAATATGTAAATAAAAATCCTTATGGTCACGGGACTGACGACGGCAATCTGCCACGGTAGCGCCGATAGACCACTCCCGTCGTCCAGTAATCCTCCTTCATGAAGGTGGGCAGCATGTTGGTGGGGACCTAGGCCACAAATGCTTTGAACCTCGCATTGTGACTCGATTCTAGCTGCATCACCCTAAATGTTAGGTTACTTTTGATCTGGTCCATTGGTTTTTGATGGTGGCAAACAAGCATATGGCCCATCTGCCAGACGCGAGGAGACATAAGGGATGTCATGTGCTCATTGCTGACACGTAAGAAACCTTAATATACCCTTCCTGAAAAGTCCCATGCCATAGCCTCTATAGAAAATCTCAGCAGATAGTTAATTCTACAATCTAAGTAGGAAGTAGGAGGAAGCTCTTCTGAAACAGTACTGTCCTAGACCACTTAGGGTTCAAATTTGTGGGGATGAATTCCCTAGGGATGGTGAGTGGTGAAAAGGAGGCTTTTGTTATATAGAAGAAAACTGGATTTTCTTGTAAAATGATGTTTATACAATTACCAGGTTTTTTAATTCGGCTAACTATGCTTTATAAAACAAAACAATTAATTCATAATCATAACTGATAAAAATTTTAGGCAAATCGTAGGCAAAATTTATTTTCTGTAAATTTCTCTCTAGAAAAAGACTGACTGTAGTTCAGTGACTGTCTTCAGAGTCCCATAATCGATTTAGCGGTTTTAATGTGAAAATGTAATAAGAATTTTACGTGTTTCAGTCATATTTTGGCTGCGCCGTCGGCAACGCCAAGCAAGCTGCCAAGACTGAAATTGAAAAGCTGAAATTGGGTGATCTCACCGTTAAAGAGTTGGTGAGGGAGGCAGCCAGAATGTAAGTAAATGAGCACAGATTGTTTTATGAATGATTATGGAATGGATGATGCAAGGGTGCATCATTAGAGTACAATGAGCATGAGGTCAGTTGGCACATTATGATAAATTCACTAGGAATTTATCAAAAGCCTATTCAAATTTAAATTTAAAAAATAATTTATCATGTAGGACATTTTAGCCGCTTATGAACGTCAAATTCTTTATATTATAATTTTTTTCCCTACCATCCAGTATTGCTGTATATTGTTCAGCCAATTGAAAAGACTGGCAAGTAACTCAATAGAATTACCTATTGATGCTATGAAAGAGTAATGAGGTTGTATTACCATTCTACGCATCTCTGGCAGCATAACATCGTACAAGAGGTTTACAAACGCAACTAATCTTGAAGTTTTTAAATTAAGACCACTATCGGATTTTATGAACTTGCTAACACTAAAAAATTGTCAATTTAATATTAAAAATAACCTGTAAAATTGGACCCGCAAATAGAATTTCGATAAATTAAAAATTATAGGAGCTCCCTATAATTTTTAATTCATCGAAATTCTAAGTAATATAAAAACTTAAACAGTGCCATCTATTAGAATATTTGTGCAACATCTATGTGTGCCCTGATTCTAATAAATTTGGTAAAACGACAACAGATGGCGCTATTTCGTTTTATTTTAAACTACTCAATTTTCTCTTTTTTCAGCATCTATTTAGTACATGATGAATTAAAAGATAAACAATTCGAGTTGGAACTGTCCTGGGTGTCGGAGGCGACTAAAGGGCGTCACGAAATGGTGCCCAAGGAACTGGCGAAAGAAGCGGAGAACGTGGCTAAACAGGCCCTGGCCGATATCGAGGATTCTGATGAGGGAGACATGTGAATTTAGTTAATACATTTATTATAAATTGTATTTTATTTCATCCTGAGTCTTACATACCACTTCTTCTTGTGATAATATGTTAATTTGAAATTACAAACAGATACTGTAATTTTATTTTTTATATATAATAACATCCATGAACAAGTCACACAAAACAGGTCTAGTCCCAAGGTAAGCAAAGCTTGTGCTGTGGGTACTAGATAACGGATATATATATATATTTTGTAAAGACATGCTTATTGTAACGTGCGAGCAATCAAACTCATCTAAATCTAGACAATATGTACAAGCCCATTTCTGAAAAGGTGTTTTTTCTAACTTAACTACCCTTCCCAACTTCCATTTGTTTCCACCCAAACCCTCAGATTGCAACTAAATTCCCTAATTTTAGGGAGAAAATCCCATATCTGGCATCACCGTTTATTGCAAGAGAAACAACATTTGATATTTATTATTATTGGACACTGATTTCAATTTTTGTAATTTATATTGTAAAGCTTCAAGTTGGGCTAAAAAGGACTTGTATCCAGAGCCGTAAAACATATTAATAAAAAAAACAATATTACACCACACCTTAAAAACTAAGTCACAGAAATATATCTGTCTTGTTTTAATAAAGTTGTCATGCTCACGCATTGTAGGCTACATGTATTTCTGTTTGCCTGGTACTTGTCATTTAAATACTTTATAAAATAATGCGTTTTTAACTTAGTTTACGCGATATATAATCGAAAATATAATAAATCTACGTTAATATACGTCAACTGCGACAATCGTGGAAATATAGCTATTTATTTTATTTTAATCTACCCACGTATTGTGTACAGACCCTTGATATTTCTGTTCTCCTGGTACTGTGCATTGGAATAACTAATTTTAATATACAGAAACCATGGAAACTCAAATATATTTTTACTTTAGACGCCTAGTATTTCTGTAGGCCTGGTATTGACAATTTGAATTATGCTGATCTGCAATCAATATAAAATAGGCTACGTACACTTAGCAAGAAACTTTAATATATCCAATATTCAGGTTTCTTAAGGGTCGGCGAAACTATCTACCTACCTACCTACCACCTACCCTACTTGAAAACCTAAAAAGTGAACAATTAATCCAGAATAAATTGGAAACTCCTCTTCCAATTTGGATTCAATTTATATTTTTACACTATTACTGATATACGACATAGCTATGAAGATCATATCCTAAGGACGGTGTTACATGTGAATGTTGATGGTTATAAGGCTAGAGGAAGACCAAAAAAGAGATGGATGGACTGTGTAAAAGATGATATGGTGAGAAAGGAAGTAAATAACGATATGACTGCGAACAGAGAGGAATGGAAGAGAAAAACATATTACGCTGTCACCAAATGAATGGGATAAGGAAGAAGCAGATGATGAGTGTAATACCTATACGACATAGCTTTTTTATAATTACTCATTATTAACCTAATAATAATAATAAGGTTGCCTGGGAGAGATATGTAGCTTTTTAGCGATAAGGCCGCCCATTTTTGTTTATTATAGTTTTATCATTTTATTGGTTTTTATTATCATTATACATAATTGTATATGTAGCTCTATTTTCTGTGAGAGGAACAATAAGAAGTTTCTCAGTCATTTATTCTTAACGACGAAAAATAGACAAATAATGTAATATTTTGTTTAGGGACACAACAAAATTGTTTCCAAAATAGTCAAAAATACCGTACATGGTAAATTCCCTAATTTATAGGGGTTAAATAACATGTAAGTAGATTAAATTTTAGGACTGTATGAAAGAAAAAACAAGGTATAGTTGTTGATTTATTTAATTTCGTATTGTCACTTTATGTATAATATCTCACAATATTTGCAGATATACTAAGAACAATATACAAATTTCATGACCAATATTTTATGACTCGCATATTTATAAAATTTACAATATAATCTCATTCGTTTTGCACTTATTTTTTTATATTTACAAAATATTTAAATTTGATAAAGTTGTAACAATATTTATAATATATATATATATATATATATATATATATTTAGGTTAGCGATATAAATACATAAAAAACTAATAAGAACATTATGTACAGATTATGATCAGGTCATATATAAGCTTCAGTTTATTCCTGCTTGTCGGTTACTCTTGGATATAACTGGAAAAAATAGAAAATGCATCATTATTATATATAGACCTATTTTACTAATATTATAAAAGTATATAAAAGTTTGTGAATATGAATGGATGTTTGTCAATGAACTGAACGTCTTTCGTTGAAACTTAATGCTACGTTTACATTCAGCCGCTTCCCCTGCCACTCCTGCTGTCGGAAATATTGCCGGGCGACAACTGAGCGAGAGGGCTGAATGTAAAAACACGCTGCCACTCGCGCTGCCAGTCCTTTGACTCGCGCACGAAAAACCGACAATCGAGGGTGCGTCGGGGAGCGCGGGTGGCAGCGCCAACAGCATGGGAAGTGTTTCCACTTGCATTTACACTCTCGCGCTGCTCACTTCCCTGCCCACTCGGACTGAGTGTTAATTGGGCATTATAGTAATATAGTTACATCAGAATAACATACATGCTACAATTTTCATGGTACAACATTCAAGCAATTACAAAGTGCTCCAAACTAAACATAACATACACTATGAAACTGACAGAAGTACTTGGCGCTCAATAAGTCTTTCCTTCGGTTTGGACTGCCATATGCACTCGCACCGTATCCGGTGAAGCTGTAAAGGCCAGCTGTGGCCAGCACTAGTATCATAGGGGTAGCTAGGGCTACATTATACGTGTAGAACTTACCCCAGTGGGGGGAAGAGTATTGTTAGTAAAGTGGACTAATAACACCGTTGCTAGCAATGTACCATGTCAGGTTGACCTCCACGTGGTTCTCTGTAGAAACCATCGTGATAAATTCAAGGTGAATTTACCATCGTGCACTACTACCTTGCCAGCATAAATCTTGCGGCCGCACCGTTCCATTATCATCTTAATAATAATATTATAAACGCGAAAGTTTGTAAGTATGGATATTAGTTACCTACTCATTCACGCAAAAACTACTGGACGGCTTTTGATGAAACTTTACAGTAATATAGCTTATGCATCAGAATAACACATTGACTATATATATTTATAAAAAAATAAACTTACCCCTAACAGGTTCCGGGGCACGTACCCCTGTCGCGCCCCCAGCCGACACCACCACCACTCTCGTTCACTGTCATCCCCCTTCCGGACCACGTTAAGCGCAGCCCCGCTAGTGAACGAGAGCTCGTCATTCCTCGCGGCAGTATATGAGAACACAGCATATACCAGGCCGTTGTTCATTATACCTAACTTCTCTTTCACACCTGTAAAATATTTATTTATTTTAAAGTTTATGAGTAAATCTATTTTTTTTTATTTATTACTCTTTATTACACCTTATAAAACATAAATACATAGTATGTAGGTGCAAAAGCCCATATCGCTTATCAAATCAAAATATCTTTATTCATGTAGGTCTGTTACAGACTCTTCATCATCGCAGCCCGGAGGACGTCCACTGCTGGACATAGGCCTCCCCCAAAGATCTCCACGACGATCGGTCCTGCGCTGCTCGCATCGTTACAGACTCTTACGATATGTCAAATCTACCGTCATTTCGGAATGATATCGAGATGAGAAGAACTGACAAGGAGCTCATCTCGTATTCTTTTTAAAGATGGTTGTACATGTTTAAAATAATACAGATTTTACATTTTTAAATTCAAATTTGGGAGGATAGAGTGACTACCAGCATATACTATAGCTTAAGGGATTCTCTTACTAATAATATAAACGCGAAAGTGAGTGTGAATAGATAAATGTTTGTTACTTTCACGCAAAAACCACAGAACGGACTTTAATGAAACTTTACAGTAATGTTTATACATCAGAATAACACATAGGATATGATTTGAAAAGATATGCAAATTGAGAGAAATAATAAGAGCAGACGAAGTTGAAATGCAAAATATTACATTCACTAAATACTACTTTTTATGTAAATACATACATAATATACATAGAAAATGCCTATATCGATATCAACAATCATACTATACAAACATTACAAATATACAAATGTTTGTATCGTGTCAGGAATCGAACCCGAGACCATCAGAAGTAAAGCGGTGTGCTAAACCACTAGAACACCGTCGTCATATTCTTATTATTAATTTTTATTCTTATCAGTAATATATTGTTTATCAGTTATTCTCACTTATTTGCGAGAAGTTTTGAGATAACTTCTTTCATAGTTATTTCAATAGATGTGTTACACCCCTCCGATCGATCCCCCGTCCAATTCAAACGGGGATCGATATTACGACGGCTTGAGCCGAGGTTCGAACCCCTTGTGGTGCCCTCAGACTAAAGTCGTATCCGTCAGGCAGGAGTTGGCCTTCAGCCGCTCCATAAGTCCTTCCACGGGTTTGGAGTGCCATCTGCACTCGCCCCTATCGTCCGGTGAAGCTGTAAAGGCCAGCTGCGGCCAACAGCATTAGAGTAGTCAGAAAAAAAGATGTGTTACTTACTGTACAGATATTCCGAACAGCCGTCGAAGCCTTCCTCGTCCTCTTCGCACTTCTCGGCCGCGGTCTCTTGGTCAGACAGCGTCGTTGCGAATATACACGCGCCTGTTGAGTGAAAACATCGTTAATGTTGTAACTGGCTAATGAAGAAATGTTTTATATTCTAAATTTGTATTTAAAATTTATAGTTCCTTTTGTAGATTCTTGGTTTGTTACTTACTTTCATTCTATTCTGTTATGTCATTAGTCTATATTAATATATATTTTTCTTCGTTTACCTAATCTTTTTTTCTTATTAGTACATGAATAAACTACAACAGTTAACAATTGCAAACACTATGCTAACGTTAAACACATAATCCAATACAAACAATCATACTCATGAATACAAATATTTGTATCATGCAAGGAATCGAACCTGCGACCATCGGAAGTGAAGCGGTATACTATACCCGCTAGTCCATGGAGACCGTTAAATTGATTTTAATGTATGAACTTTGTGTAATTATTACCTGCTTGTTGTCAGTAGTGCAGTTCATATATAGATTACGATTATTACTTTCCATCAGGTATTTCGTCAGGTTATATTTCATCTATATATAATCTAATACGTGAAATAAAAACTTTGTACACCTTTTGGGAAAGTTGCGCGGACGCAGGAGTATGAAATTTCGCTAACATATAGTTAGTTATGCTACATTCAGCCGCTTCCCCTCCCACTCGCGCTGCCGGAAATATATCCGGGCGACAACTAAGCGAGAGGGCTGAATGTAAAAACACGCTGCCACTCGCGCTGCCAGTCCTTTGACTCGCGCATGAAGAACCAACAATCGAGGGAGCGCCGGCCAGCGCGAGTGGCAGCGCCAATGGCATGGGAAGTGTTGCCACTCGTGTTTACACTCTCGCGCTGCTCACTTCCGTGCTCACTTTCCTGCCTACTCGGGCTGAGTGGAAATTGGGCATTATACATAGAAGGAGTGCAGAATGCTATTTTTTTCTAAATTATGTTAAAAATACATTAAATCGATAAAAAAACATTGCATACATTACCATGTATTTGACACATACACGTATATTATACTCCTTTGTTTATGGTTAAAGTCTATGGCCAAATTCACTACCAAAGACACTGCATTAATACTTTTTTGTTTATGGTTAAAGTCTGTGGTCAAATTGAGAATAGATTAATATTTTTTGTCTTTAATATTATTTGTCTATAGTGGTGAATGTTAAATTAATTATGGTCGAATTTGGACCACTAGTATCATAAAAAGAAAAGACTACGACCATCTGTGAACTAACCATTATCGACGAGGAAGCGGACCATCGGCAAGTTGTTGCAGGAGGCGGCACAGTGTAGAGGCGTCCACCCGTCTGAGTCTTGAGCGTTCACATCACAGCCCAATTCCACCAGGAATCTGCGGAACGATTTATTATCATTACATAGTATAAAACAAAGTCGTTGTCGCTGTTTGTCCTATGTATAAGTATGCTTAAATCTTTAAAACTACACAATTGATTTTGAAACGTCTTTTTTAATAAATCGTGTGATTCAAGAGGAAGGTTATATATATATATAATAATACATGTACACCCAAAGCCGGGACGAGCGATAATAATATTATCCTGAAAAAATTACACAGCGCCATCTAGTCCCAAGTTAAGCTAGCTACCTAGTACCTACATAACTGTTACAAATACATTTTTTTTTTAATATCTATGTATTTGTATCAAACATGAATACAAATGTTTGTTGATGAAATGAAATGAAAATGAAAAAATTTAATATTTTTTTAAAAGAGCTGTAGAATAAAAAAAACATGACTATTCAAAGATTATTTCTATTCTATTTTGTAGTATTAAAAATATAACAAATAGAAACTCACTTGACAATCTCAAAGTGTCCGGCACAGATTGCATTGTGCAGAGCTGTGATGCCTTCGTCGTTGGCCGCACTCGCGTTTTGAACCTGAAACCAGAATAGCAAATAATATAATAACGCATACCTACTTCATTAATTCCTGCATAATATTATAATAAATAACCCTGGACAATTAACACAGCGCCATGTGGTCCCACTGTAAACAGAGTTATGGGTACTAGAGAACTGATATAAATACTTAGATTTTTTTAAATATATATACATAACAGCCAGACCGATACAGACAATCATATGAATATAAATGTGTGCGCCGTGCGAGGAATCGATCCCGCGACCATCGGAAGTAAAGCGGAGTGCTAAACCGCCAGACCACTGAGGCCGTCATGAGAAAACTTCTTAGTATTCTATGGATCGACCGAGCGGATGCCGGGTCCATCGTGTGGCAGAGAAACTCCGAACAGGTAAAATAAAATAAAATGTAAGAAATGATCGTAGTACTCACACATCGCTAAATAGTATTATTAGTGCATTCAATTCAGTTGCAGGAGAGGATTGCTATCAATTAGTGCTATTGCTAGTAATACCAAATCGATCACCAAGCTGTTCTTCAGACATTGTTAAACATTTAAATTTTATTAATTTTGCGTCACATTATTTCAGGATATCATATAAATAAATTACCTGTGTTGCTGTTTTCTTGACCAGTTCCAATTCTCCTTCTAAACTAGCATCCAATAGCAACGCGAGCGGATCAAAACTCACTCTTCTTGTCAAAGGTGCCTTGCCTCCTTGTTTCAAGTTGCCTTTCTTTGATCGCCTCAGTACATTCTCAGAGCCCTGAGAATCCTGACCGTTCAAATCGACCGAACTGATCTGTTCGGCTATATCTGCCACACTGTCTTTACTTTCCTCTTGTCTATCACTTGTATTCGATATGTTGTTATTTAGTGCCCTATCAACTTCATCTTTAGGCTTCGCTTTATCCTTTAGGCCATTCTGCATTTCATTTGGTACGGAATCCAATGTCAAATGATCCATTTCAGGAAACAGGAATGCTGGTGGCATCTCAATGCGACGGTTGATGCTGACGCTGATACCGTTCTTAGCTGAATTCATGTTCCGAAGTTTAGGTTGTTGTTCGTTTAATGGTGGTTTTCTTATCGTTAGTGGGCGTGCTTTGATGATCATATCGTTGCCACCATTCGGTTCCTTCTGATTCTGCTGTGAATCACTATCATTCGACTCTGGTACAGGTATTGTTGGCATTGGTGTGATCTCTGAGTTTTGGTTGAAGCCTGCATCGTTATTTGCTGACTGTCGCGGTGGTGTCTGTAATAAAAATTTAAGTATTTTAATTATTTACAAATAATACAATTCTCATAAATTTCTTTCACATGGTTTATTCATTTATTTGGGTCTTAATCAACATCTAATTTGTTTGGGGAGATCCTCATCCCTTTTTACAGTATGTCCATATGAATATAAACTCATTTCCTCATCTTATAAATTGTTGTTGTTACTTTCAAGATTTCTCTTTCCACTACAAATAAATCCAAAATCTATAATGTATAGTTAAATGTGACACATACCTTTATGGCAGGTTTCGGAGGTAGTGCTGGCTTCGGCGACTTATCAGTACCGCTGACGTCAGGTGTGGACAACGGTGTACTGGCGCTTTGTGGCGGAGATAATATGATGCTTTGAGATGACGTATTCTGCCCACTGAAGTTATTCCCCGTACTAGTTGACAGTCCTGACGCCGTGTTTCTAACGATCTGGGGTTGGGAAGTCACCACGTTACTAGCTACATGATTTGAAGATGGTGCAGAAATGCTTTGGGTCTGAACGGTCTGTGGCTGGACCGGTTGGATCTTAGTGGATGATGTCTGATAGATGGGTGATGGTTTCGCACTCGAGACCTGAACCGCTGTGGGTGCTACACTTGATACAGGTTTCTGGAAGGAATGAATGATTGGTGATATTTACAGATGATATGAGAGTAGCAATGACATGATATAAGCTGAAATGACCTATTGTAACTTAAATGTGAGAAAGATGCACTAGAATTTAAAGTAAAAATAACTTACCCCAAAGCCTATAGAACTGCTAGTTGTCGTTGTATTAGATCCAAAACTCGGAGAACTTCCTTTAATAGTATTACCCTGTTGACTCTTCCCCGCGCTGTTCTTCGAGCCTTCGTTGCTCTGACTATTTTGACTTAGCCTAGAATTTTGTGGATATGCATGATTCTCTTTCCCCTCCTGGTTACACCTACTGGAGGAGTCAGATTTCTGCAACTGATATGTATGTTCCTGTGGATATGTGGTTTCCGTTTGACTTAGAGGTGTCGCGAGACTTTTGTTCACTACTGTGAGTGGCGTTGAATGTACAGTCATATGGTTTACGTTTATATTCGCTGCATTTTTATCTTCGTTGTTCTTGCTGTTATTCTCAGGCTTTAATTTACCATTTGTACTCTGTGGAAATTTGGTGTTATATGGCAACGTTTGATATTTCGGATCCGATTTACTTGCAGCAAACTCAGGTAAGAATTCTTGTTCGTTGATCTTCAATTCTTTACCAGTTTGGTTGCTGTTCGAACTGCTTGTACTATTTGGACTATATTGTGGTTTTGGATAATCAGAATATTTATTTACATGTTCGAACATGCCCTTTTGCTCGTAAGCATTGCTGATACCCTGTTGTACGTGGTTGATGTTGTCATGCTTAGGGTATTGATATTGGTCTCCTGGCTGTACATGAGGGTATCCATTGTAGAGTGGATTCATCATCTGTTTCTGCTGCAAGTAATGGGCTTCTTGTTGCGTCATGTGGGCTTGCATATTATCACATTGTGTAAGCTGTTTTAATGGCACGTTGTTTTGTATTACATTTTGCTTCATTGCCTGAAATAATAAAAATAATACTGTTACAAACACCCGGAGTTGAGATTTATTATTAGTATATTTTGCACAAGACAAAATACTTTGTGCTATCTATCTATATAGACAGATTGCTTCCATGCTGTTTTCCGGTTTGAAGACTACTTTATGGCCGGGATTTTTCTAGACGCCTAGACAACATTATAATTCTCAAATATAGCAATACATAAACCACGATGTATTCTTGTAACGCTGTTCATATCTACAAACTATTCAAGCGCATTGCACCAGTAAGTATCAGTTCAGTATCAGTTACTTTGTTATTCATAGTTTAAAATGTGGTACACTTGTCTACGTATAATTTTTAACTAACCTATATATATATCTTAAGTAAATGAACTTTATGTTACCTGGAAATTTGCATTGTGGCTAACACTCTGAGCATGAGGCACATGGTTATAAGGCTCGACGGCGGCAACATTCCCTCGCGGCTGTTGGTTCTTTGGTTGACTATTCGCGCTGCCCGTGTAGTTTGAAAGCTGCTGCATAGGCGTTGGGTTATTCGTTCTAGAAGATTAAAGAGATGCCATGACAATATTTTGTTTCTAAAGATAAAATTGCAATTAAATTGTATTGAATTGAATAGCCGATGTATGGATATTTACACTTAGATTGCATTACATCTAGACAATAAACATATATTTTAAAATAAATAAAATAAGTGCTTTTGTAAATATCACTTTTTATTCTATTGAATAATTAGCAGTTGATTAGACTTCATCATTTCAATTAAGATATTCTTCTCTATCTCAATTATATTCTAGAATGGTCCCAGAGTCAGGTTGATGTCGTCTTTCCAATGTATTAAATCTTTTGGAAATACCGTTAATAAAAACATAGCTGCATTCCGGAAAGCTTGATTTTGCATTATGTTAATTATTGCAGTAGGTATCCCCAAATATACAAGTAGTATATAGTCCTCCATAGCGTCAATACTTGAAATGGAAATATGCCTAGAATCCTGTTATATATAACATGGTATGTAAAAATATAGAAGAACGAGAAGAGAACTGATTGTATAAATCTATAATCTAAAATCGAATTTAGATTATCCCTGTAAATATCGGCCTATCGTTTTGTAATAAGGTGGATAAGGTTGTCGATCAGTTGATGATGATTTATGTCCGCACCGCGTCGTAATAATCTTTCTTGACAAAGTATTGGTCCTCAGATATTTCGTTGAGGAAGGAACTTTTTGACATTCGGTATTATTTTACTTTTAGTTGGATACACAGTTGTTGAAGAGGGCTGATCACAAAATGGATGGGTTAGATGCGTCTGAATTCACTGTGGGTGGATACGAGTTGGAAAACTTGGTTTGGCCCTTCTAGAAAATAGATTAAATTCCTCAGACAGACAGTAGATTTTAATTTTAAATAAACTATCTTGTGGAATGCTGGATCTAAAAAATCCGTGGCTATCTATGCCAAAGTCACCTAGTTCGTAGAATTAAAACTACTCCAAAATAGTAATTACTGTTATCTTCAGCGTCAAATTCAGATTTAAAGAAATTCACCTCTTTCTAGGAAAAATACATACATATACGAGTAACTCCGATTTGCGATGTTAAGTGAAATCCCGTTACATGTATAAAATCATTAATAATACAAATGCTACATCAGACCCGGCTGCTATACCTAAATCTGTATCTCTACTACTATACCAAATTAACGACATGTAAAAGTCAGGTGCTACATTTATTGCAGCATACTAGGTCAAATAAATTTGGCAAATTTAATTTAAAAAAAAAATCTCGTTATTTGCGACTCGTGTACCTTTACTCCCTCCTGTTCAGGTAATGCTTGCTTGATTGAATAATTTTTGTTTAGTGACATTAATTTAATAGCATTTGCTGCAACCAGCACGGTAAACTGAACCTAAGCTTAATATGTATAACGATCATATTTTAAAAGCATGTAACATTACTAACTAACAGTACATTTAATTCACCGTATCTGTAATAGATATATATGTTTTGAATGAAGTCATTTTTGATTTGTATTTGAAACAGTAGCTACGAGAGTTACACCAATTAGCTTGTTTCACGACATAAATAAATGCAGGTCAATAGCATCCTTCACCATGCTCATTAATTACCTTTGCTGCTGTTGCTGCTGTGGATGGCGGTGCGCGGTTGTTAGCTGTCGATTGAGTGCTCTTTTCCTCAACAGGCGTGCTTGTAACTCGGAGACCCGCCGGTCGATGCTTCTCATCTCCTCTTGCCGCGCCCCCAGCGCCGCCCGTTGTGCCGACAGCCTGCCGTTCTGTTGCTCGTTCAGTTTGTTGCGATACTGTAAATTGAGAATTATACTAAATTAGTACAAGTATCTTTACTTTTCCTAACTAAAATAGTCTTTTATATAATTCGAATGGCAGATAACCTGACGTTACTTGTAATGGTAAGTGGTAACCATCACCTATTGCACTACGAAGACCACTCCAAAGGACTAAGATCCCATAGGTATTATCTTGTAATTTAATTGCGTAATCGAATTCCGACTGTAATTGAATTTATATCCATATTGTGACACGTGTTCCGCCTCTGAACGAGGCATCTTCAGGCAATGAATGGATTTCGGATATATAATAGTTTGGAAGCCTAATGTTAACTGTTCGGCGAAAACTGCGCCAGATTCGCATCTACATTTTCGCATTAATTTGTTTATGAAAGAAATTAAACAAAATGATACAAATCCGTTAAAAGCATCAATTAATTTTATTTTAATAAAGTATTTTCTATTCTATTCTACGAGTTGTTTAATGTTTAACAAAATATTTTCGATCAAATGTATTTACAAAAAAATTAAAGAAAATATCTCTATTAGTTGTGTAGTTCTCATAGGAAAACTTTTGCTTAGTTTATGACCAGGCGCTGTCTAAGACTATTTATTGTTACACCCTAGAATAAACACGCCTTTGTAAAAAAATCATTGAAATTCATTCAGTTTTATTGAAGACATCAAATATAATTTAAATTTAAACCGTATTCAATATAATATAATTTAAAATAAAAGGTATTGTAAATACAATGTAATTATCTAGCTATTTAATATCATGTTGTGATCCGTTGATTAAATAAGTAATAAAAGATCAAAACGTAACTTTTCAAAGTGTTCATCTACTGGATTAAAGATTAAATCGATTGGGATGCGAACTTCCATAGTAATTCTTCCAGAAAATTGCTATCTCGTTATCTTGGAAGTAACGTGGCAAAGTTCTTTAAAAGTATTCCGTCACCACAGTATATAATTCGAACATCGATAGATCAGTGTGCCAGGAAAGTTCGACACTAAATGTCTTAAGGAAATAGGAATTATAGATAATATTATCTAAACTGTGTTTACTTCCAATCCAATATTAAGGCCAAAAGAGAACAGGCAAATATAAAACTTAAAGACATACACTGGCTAATAGGCAGATAATCAGCTTTAAGCCTGGAAAATAAGGTTCTTATATTCAAATTCATCTTAAGGCCTATATGGACATATGGTATAGAGCTATGGGGATCGGCAAGTCATTCCAATATCGAAATAATACAGCGTTACCAAAGTAAAGTGTTAAAGACCATAACCTTGGTACATAAAAAACCGGGAGGTGTATGACTACACAGAGATCACAACGGTGCACGAAGAGATAAAACGCTCCTGTAAGGCTCACAGGCAGAGACTTCAACACCATACCAACCCTTTAGCAACAACTCTCTTGGACTCTAGGAATTACGTATGCAGGCTGAAAAGGTCACGTCTGCCTACGATTTAAAAGAACAGATGTATATAAAAGAAGGACCACATTATTGGATGTGGTAACTCAAAGCGACAGATAACGAAAGCTATAAAATCTGATAAAAGCTAATTGGCTGATCGCAGATAGATAAGAAACAAAAAAACTTCCAAGCCAACCAATCCGTGGTAGATTTAGTAACATATCCTTTGCGTGAGTACCTTAGTCTCACCCATTTCAGTACCTAGTAACTTGCTGAAGGGAGAATTAGGTAACTATACAGAATGAGTCCTCTAGGAGGGGAAGAGAGTTGTTTATTAGCTAAAGGTTGACATCAAACAGTGACTATACAAAATAAGTCCTTTAGATAGATAGATAGATAGATAAATTCTTTATTCACAATTACAGACACATAACATACATGAGATACAGAAACAACACGAATTAATAAAAGAAATGTAGGTGACTTTATGTGCCGCAAAAGTGAAAAGGCAGCCAACTCAGCATAAAGCTACAGATAACTCTGCAGCGCTGATATTCTGTTGGCTCCTTACTTATACTATACTTATTACTAAGGAAATGACATAAATATTAAATTTCGAGCTCTTTATCAAAATATAAAGTGTGAATAAACTGTAAACAATGTGTTGAATTATATTATTAAACTACTTATACTACATAAATACTATAACAAGGATTACACATATATTGATATGGTGATGATCTTTAAGGGAAAGGAGATTAGTAATGTGGAATAATAACCCCATTGCTAGCATTGTACCATGTTAGGTTGACATCCACGTGGTTACCTTTGGAAACCATTGTGATAAATTCATGGTGAACTTACCACGATGTGCTAACTAAGCTGATCTCATGCTCATATTGCCTCACTTTACTGGTGTCCCGCCAGGGTAAACTGTCAGCGCAAGCCAGAACATCATTCCATTATCATCCATAAAAAATGCGTCCTCTAAGAAGTTATCAGTTTTTTTTCGGACTTCTCTAATGTTGTTGGCCGCAGCTGGCCTTTACAGCTTCACCGTACGATAGAGGGTGAGTGCAGATGGCACTCCAAACCCGCGGAAGGAAATTAATGTGTATTATACTAAGAGTTCTGAACTAAGACAGAGAATGAACTAGAGTCAAAAGAAATGAATTCCGAAATGAATAAAAAGTGAAATAAATAGTATGTAATGTTATTTAGTAAAGATACTAAACTTTTGGCTTAGTACATTCTTTTAATAATCAGACATGATTGTCTAATTCTTTATATATATATACGTAAGAGTCATGACCCATTAAGAAAGAAATTCAAAAAGGCAAATATTCTCACCGTTGCTTCTCAATTTATATATTCAAATATCCTATATGTTCATAAAAATCTTGACTAATTTCCAAAAAAAAGCAATATTCATAATATTAATACTAGATTTAAAGTCAAACTTGCTATCCCCAAGTATCGTTTAGAAATAGTCAATAGGTCTTTTATGGGAATAGGTATAAATAATTCACAATAAGGTACCAAAGGATATGTTGGAATTACCCTTAAATAAATTCAAAACACTCATATTCATATTTACTGAGCAAGGCCTATTACTCACTAAACGATTACTTGAATGACGAGCGTGCATGGCAATAGTTTTCATGTTCGGGATTTTCATTTAATGTTAGACATAGACACCTATATAAATACCTATGCATTGTAAATAAACTGGCCTTTAAAAAAAAGTAATTCGATTGAGTTTCTTGCCAGTTCTTCTCAATTGGATCTATACACCGAACTGGACGGTAGGGAAAAAAATTATAATGTAAAAACTTGACGTTCATAAGCGGCTAAAATGTCCTACATGAATAAATGATTTTTGAATTTGAATTTGAATTTGAACTTAGACATTTAAAGATAATCTTTATTACTAATATTATAAACGCGGAAGTTTGTGAGTATGAATGTATGTTTGTTATTCTTTCATTCAAACGACTCAATGGATCTTAATGAAACTTTACAATAATATAGCTTATACATCAGAATAACACAAGCTATATTATTCACTCGTGTGAAACCGCGGCCAAAGCTAGTAGATATATAATATAGTATAATATTTAGATACTTTTGCTGATATATTAACATACATCGCTTTACTTCATAACCGTTTGATGAACCGATAACAGATCAAAGACTCCTTCCAAGCGCCATCTTCGATTTCCTGCGCCAACAGACTCGCGAGAAAATAAGTGACATGTGCGAACAAAACGGGACCATTCAGGGTTCCGTATTACTTGCTTGTGTACATCTTGCTTGTGTATATTTGACGACCTCGGTGGTCTAGCGGTTTAGCACACCGCTTTACGACCGATGGTCGCGGGTTCGGTTCCTCGCACGGCACAAACATTTGTATTCATAAGTATGATTGTTTGCATCGGTCTGGGTGTTTTCTATGTATAATATGTATGCAGAATTTGTTCGTTTGTTTGATTGATCGCGTAAATCTCAGAAACTTTAAAGAAATTGGTTCTTTAAAGTTTCTGAGATTAAACTTGTAAAGTATTTTACTATTGGATAGCCCACTTATTGTAGGGATGAATATCACATTCTGATAATAATCATATATATTCGGTGGTCTACCTTTATAGCGCCTTACACCGATCATCGCAGGTTACTTAGGATTTACTATTTACTAACTGACGCACCCAAAATCTTTTTAAATTATAGCCTATATATTCTGATATGTAAGCTATATTATTGTAAAGTTTTATCAAAATCCGTTGAGTAGTTTTTGCGTGAAAGAGTAACAAACACTCATCCATACTCAGAAAATTTCGTGTTTATAATATAAGTCAGATTATTACCAGTTTAATGGCATCCACTGTTGATCTAAATATATAATATATATATTACGTTTCTATTCCTAGTAGAGGAACCCCAGATTCCCGAGCATCGTTATCCACTCACATGCGTAGAATCAAACTCTTTAAATGTCGGCCAAAAGCGTTGACATGGAAAAATTCATTCGCATGGAATTGATTAAGCCCAAGAATGGATTTGTAGTAAGATAAGTCGCAATGATATGATAGACGGTGAGAATATCTGAATGGGGATTACATTGTCAGGTTCTGACCCGACGAGCCGTGCCGACGATCGTTCGATTGGCGCATTTTTAAAGATAGCAACCGATGCGTCATCGGCACAGTCCGTTCGGATTAAACCTGAGATTGCGGGCCCAGGTTTGTACCCAGTGAGATACAATCGAAATGGTTCCGCTGACCATAGCCAAGAAATGCTGATCAAAACATTCAAACACATAAATCATAGATAGTGACTGAAATCGCTGCGATGAACTTTGGTTTGTGTGAAAATATTTGTCAAATAATATAGAAATGGTAAGAAATTTCAGAAAAGACATTATGTTTGTCTCAAATTGAAATAGATACACCACAAGTGATGAATATGAAATAGAATTATTTTAAGTAATAAATTTAATATAAGCACTTATATATTTATAATAGCTGTACACGCTACTTCGTCCGCGTGGAATTTAACTTTATTTTTTTAATAAAAGTAGCCTACG